AGGAGAATCATCCCAGAAGCGCCCCATGGATGATGCAGAAGCCAAAGATGAGAAGAGGCGCCAAGAGATTGCCAAGGATGAAGAAAGGAAGAAGCGCAAGCAAAGCTTTGAGGAGCACTACGAGCGCTTCAGGCACAAGGGCAAAGATGAAGTGAAGCCCGAGGTGAAGAAGATCCCCAAGAGGCCAGGGGAGAAAGAGAAGGTCGAGGAGAAAGAGAAAGAAGAAAAGAAGAAGAAGAGGCACCCAGAGCACCCATCGAGCTGAAGTCCAAATCCCCATCGAGAGCGCCTGAGGACAGCCGGGCTGATTCAGCCCAGGCGTCCAAGGGCAGGGGAAAGTTCAGCATGGGCACCAAGAGATTCCTGGAGAAGACGGTGCGTGATGCAGCCAACTACATGGAAAGAAAAGCCAAAAAGAAAAGAAGAGAAAAGGCCATCTCCCAAGCCCAGGGAGCACTCACCAGGAGGAGGAGTTCGATCAGACTCCAACCTTGACTTCCTGGGAAGTTTGGCATCTCAGGTGGATACCATTGTCTGGGCCACCGTTGACTCAGGGGCAGCAACCAGTTGCCTACCCAAGGAATTGGCGCAGTCATTGGAGTTGGCTATGACACCTGTGGATGAGAAGCCGTTCACCAACGCATCAGGGCAGCCAGTCCAGGTGCATGGGGTGTGCAACCCTATGGTGACCATGGGTGAGAAAGGAGGCCCACAAGTCAAAGGTGTGGGACAGTTCCGGGCAATGGATGTGGCAAAGCCATTGCTGTCTGTGTCCAAGCTGGTTGAGAAAGGCTGGACAGTAACCTTCGGCCCCAATGGATCGTTTCTGCAAAGGGGAGCCAAGAAGGTTCCAGTCACCATGACTGGAGGTGTTTTCAAGATAGCCATGGATTTTCATGGGCAGCCCACAGAAGGGTTGAAGGCGTAAGTCCTGTGGAGACCACAGAAAGCGCAGGTAGTGGAGATGATGAACCGGGCAGTAGTAAGCTAGGTTCTCAAGCGCTACCAACTGCAGCAGCGCCGACGCAGAGAGAAAAAGAAGAGCATTTTGTCAGCCATTATCCTTTTAGGAGTTGGTGTGAACATTGCATTCGAGGTAAGGCAAAGGCAATGAGACATGTCAAAGTAGATCATTCAGATGAAACAGTTCCTGTGATCTCAGCTGACTATTGTTTCATGAATTCAGTGGATGACACTGTCATCACAGAAGAAGTGCAGAAAAAGCATGCACCAGTTTTGATAGTACATGATCGATGGTCCAAGTTGACCTACGCACACGTTTTGCCGTACAAGGGAGTTACCCAAGGTCCTATTGGATCTAAGTGTCTTTTGAATGACCTTAAGAAGTTTGGGTACCCCAAGATGGTCATGAGGTATGACCCAGAGCCTGCACTCAACTCCGTAGTTGAGGCAGCCAAGAATGGTTTTGACAAACAGTTGGTTTTGGAAAAAGTTCCCAAAGGAGTCTCAGAATCCAAAGGGGAAATTGAAAGAGCAGTTCAAGCTATTGAATCTCAATCCAGGACACTCAGAAGTGCCTTGGAGACAAGCTATGGAAGAAAGGTGCCAGACGACCACCCAGTTTTGACATGGTTGGTTGAACATGCTAGCACCACTTACAATTTGTTTCACAGATCATTGGAAGTCAAAGATGGGAAGACACCGTACTCTAGACACCGTGGTCGTGAGTGGAGAGTGTCATTACCACCATTTGGGGAAACAATTGAATTCCTCAAAAGAGGTCACAAGTTTGAACAAAGATGGCACCAAGGAGTTTTCTTGGGAGTCAAAGACAATACCACTGAGAAGATAGTGGGAAATGCATCAGGTGTTTTCACTGTGCAAAGCATTCGACGCAAGAGTGCTGACGACAGATATGATGCCGAAACTTTGATGTCAGTCACTGGGGTTCCCTGGGATCCCCAGGCATCAAAAAGAGATGACATTTTGCTTCCTCAGATTGTTGAGGGAGATCAGCAGCCACTGGCGCCATCAGTGCCAGTTGAGCCACCAAAGAAGTCGACAAGACGACTTTACATCACCAAACGTCATTTGGACAAGTATGGCTACACCGCTGGTTGTGTCGCCTGTGATGCCACTAGAATTGGCAAAAGAGGCACTGGAGTTCATCACACTCCAGCCTGCAGAGAAAGGATGGAACGTCTGCTTCAAGCAGAAGAGGGCAACCTGAGAGTAGCCCAACATACGGCCAAGGTTGATTCTGAAATCACTGGTCAGAAACAAGAAGTGTCCGAAGAAGGCACAAAGATTCTTTATGGGTATTCAAGTGAGAAACCACAAGAAGTTCCTCACGGTTTTAAGGTGTTTGCGCGCCTTGACAAGAATGCAAGGTATCTCAAGGGTACTATGCCAGAAGGTCCCAGTTGGGATAATGTCTGGTGGAGAGTCACCAGAGATTTCAAAACAGGAAACATTATCAAGTCTGAACCAATGGATCCTAGTTTAGGAGATGAAGTCATCAACGCGCCTTTGATTGATGACGCAGATATCGTCACTGAACTGTGGTACTCAGCCGCAGGGGAATCTGCTCCAAGTTTGCCAACAGCTGGACCTGCTATCGCGAGGCAGAGTCCTGCTACCGGACAAGCTGCAGATCCACCTGCAGAAAGCGCAAGCGCAAGCACAGCCTCAGCCAAGAGGGCAGGAGGCGAGCAAGAAGAAAGAGCACACAAAAGGTTGGAAATGTCTCCAACCAAAGGTCGGAAAAGACCTGCAGACTCAGGAGGCGAAACGTCAAAGTCCAAGGACAGCCGAGCTGCTTCAGCTCAGGCGTCTAAGGGCACCAAACGGCCACCTGAGAATGAGAGACCAGAAGACATGGATGATATAGACCAATGTCTTATGAACCTGATCATGGAAGATCGGGAGAAGTACCTTCAGTCCATTGAAGGTGAAGAAGAGCCAGTTTGTGAAGAGACAATTCCTCTTCCACCAGAACTGGAAGATGAAGCAGCCACATGGGATTATTACGATGATATCAGTGGAAAGATTGTAGACAGCAAAGGTGTAGAACAAGCCAGAAAAGATGAGGTCGAAATCATCGAAAGTTTTCCAGTTTGGGAAAAGATTCCCAGACACAAGATGCCCAAAGGGGTACGCACCATTGGAACACGATGGGTAGATGTCAACAAGCAGGATGAAGAGAATCCACTTTATAGAAGTAGGTTAGTAGCTCAAGAAGTCAAGAAGGGCTCAGGTTTTGATGAGTTCTTCGCAGCTATGCCCAGTTTGTCGGCTTTGAAGATGCTAGTTACAATAGCCGTCACGTTTCAGTTGCCAGACGCTGGAAAAGCTGTCAAGGAAGCCTATCGCAAGCGTAGACTTCTAGGATTTTTGGATGTGAAACGCGCCCACTTTTACTCAGATGCGACGCGTGAGATCTATGTGGAACTTCCTGCAGAAGCAAAGAAGCCTGGAGAAGATGTGGTAGGAAGATTGCTCAAGTCTTTGTATGGAACCAGAGACGCACCTCTCAACTGGGAGTTGCAAATACAGAAGGTTATGTTAGCCTTAGGTTTCAAGCAAGGAAAAAGCAATCCATGCATTTACTACCATGCAGGCCGAGACCTCAGAACTGTTGTACATGGAGATGATTTTACAACAGCCGGAACATTTGACAACATCAAATGGCTTCATGAAGAGCTGTCGAAGAAGTGGAAATGTGTGGAACGTGGTATTTTAGGACCACCAGGAACACCAAACACCATCCAGGACATCAGAGTCCTGAACAGAATTATCACATGGAAGGAGAATGGAATTTGGTGGGAACCAGATGCACGTCATGCAGAGTTGGTGATTGATTTACTCGGAGATGGTCCCCGAGGGGCCAAAGTCAAGACACCACTTGCCAAGGGTTCAGTGGAAGACCTCAAGAACGCCACTGTTTTTCTCAATGATGAAGAAGCAACCCAGTACAGATCAGTTGCAATGCGAGCAGCTTATTTGGCACAAGATCGACCAGATCTGCAAGTAGCGACAAGATCTTTAGCACAAGGGCTACAACGACCAACTACCAGCCACATGCTTATGCTCAAACGAGTTGCACGATACCTAAGGTATCGACCACGCATGGCACAATTCTTTCCTCATCAGAGCAAACTCAGTCCATTTGTGATGTGGTCTGATGCTGACCACGCTGGTTGCGTGAAGACGAGGAAGAGCGTGTCAGGAGGCGTCCTGATGGCCGGAGGTTGTTGTATCAAGACTTATTCTAAAGGACAAGGAGTTGTCAGTCTTTCGTCTGGAGAGAGTGAGTATTACGCTCTTGTGAGCGGTGCCAGCAATTTGCTGGGAGAAGTTTCAACCGCCAAAGACTGGGGTTTGCAACCCGAGAGTGAAGTTTTCATGGACGCAAGTGCAGGAATAGCAATGGGTTCTCGCAGAGGACTAGGCAAGGCCAAGCACGTGGATACTCAATACCATTGGGTACAAGACCGCGTTGCCAAGCGCTATTTTCGGCTGAAGAAGGTCGACACTGGCGATATGCTTGCCGACGTCTTGACGAAACCTGTCATAGAAGAGAAAATGAATAAAGCCTTGCGAAATATGAATTTTCACTTTCTGGAAGGTGAGCATCACCTGACACTGAGAGCATAGATGGCTTGAGCGTGGCTATGAGTAGCTGTACATATCAAAACTCGCCTAGTTCAAATAATTGGACGGGAGCGCCGTTTTTAAACAGGCTCGGGAGGCGTGATCAGATATGTGTACAGTGTAGACTATGTCACATGTAGCATATATGTTTGTATATGTGCTGCAGCCATTTTAGTGCTTTCAGCTACCTTCGAGCTGACTGAGTGAAAAGGTGCTGATCAGTGCTCAGGAGTGTTCATCAGATTTAAGAGCCCAAATTCTCTGTTCACAATGTAATGTGTTTGGACAAATACAAATCCAACCTCATGATTTTTCATGGTAGAAAATGACAATTTTTGGGCGAATCTAGTGCCCATGTTCGGACCCCCGATCTCTGAACGACACAGGCTCCAAGCGCTTGACCAAAGGGAACGTCATGAGCGCCTCAATGCCTGCGATGGAGCCCTTCACAGCGATCATCAGCGGATCGAAGGTGCTAGGGTTGGATTTACGGCCATTTTATGAGGAACTGATGGTTGGATGGTTGGATGGTTGGATTGATTTTCGATAGCACTGGATTTTTGTTGTTTTTTCTCTATTTTGGACAAGTCAGTGGTTTAGAACATCATTTTCGGCTATAAAATGACCACAGATTGGGGGTAGACACATTCCCTTTTGGGACACAGACATTGCTTCGTTTGTTTCGGGTTACCAACCTTGGTTTGATGTTAGGAATCTTGATAAGAAACTTCGTGGACTTGAATCGAAAACTACAGGCATCATTTGGGGAGTCTGTTGGGAGATTTGCCCAGATGCAGTTGACTCAGCCCAATCATTTTTCTTTTTGAATTTCAACAACTTTTCCTTGACTTGTTCGCCGCGTATCCGGCAGTCTTAGTCGTGCCCCATGGTTCTGTTGCTGGACCAGCTCATAGGTCGACTTGCCGAAAGGGTGGTGAAGTAAGTCCATGGTTTGTGTGAAGGATTGTGTTTCATGAAGTTAATCCTTTACACAAACCGTAGACTTGCCGTAAGGATGGTAAACACTATGGTTTTTTATGGTGAAGTCTATGGTTTCATGAAACCATTTTGTTCCCTGGCCCAGCCAGTGGCCGTTGTCTTTCTCGACCTTCCATGTGCGACCGCTACCGCCACCTGAGGCGCTGCCCCTGCCGCAGATCGCAGGACCACAGCAGAGTCGATCCTTGGAGAGTGCGTTGTGCAAGATACCCCTATTGGTTGATGATGATATGGGATATTATGGGATTATACCTTTTTTGTGCTACTCAATATATCAGGTATCATTGTAAGCCATGTGTTAAAACTCTTAATCTTGATTCATGCTGACTTGGTCATTTGCTGGAACACTATTTGGGTTACATTGTCATTCTTTTCTTCGAGATTTCCTTATTTCACCACAGTGTTTCTTTCCTTCGAGAAACACCATCTCAAAACCAACCAACTGGGGCATGTTTGACAAACCATGATACCCATTCCTGAGGAAGCAGATCGCCACCGGATCGCGGTGCAGCCCCGGCGCCTCGCAGTACCTTGGTGTCAGTGGCGAATTTTTGAGATTCGGGTGGAATCCAAAGTTCCAGTGTCTACAATGCAACTGCATGTACGTACACACACACATATATATACATAGATATATAATGATACATAGACATGTATGTCTATACAGACATACACCACTCATAGAAATGCAGACATCTTGGACTAAGGACTCAGCCGAACCAACTCCCAGCCACTGCGGCGAGATCCTGTGGACATTTCGATTTCAGGAGCTGCAAGATGGGGCCCTCTAGATATTCAATAGCACCCCCCAAAAAATGGAACAGGAAAAAAGATTTGCGATTTGAATTCGATTCTGTTTTTCTACATTTTTTTTGGAGGTCGCTATATAGATATATATGTATATGTATATATGTATACACCATAAACCATAGTTAACCGATACACCAAGTTAGAAATTGTAAACTGGGCCCCCCGGGTGCCGAAGGTGATTCCTAGTTGCGATGATGACCTCCCCGTTGCTAAGTTGTAAAGTCAGGCAGATGGATGATTTTTCAGTAGGACATGGGCATCCCGAAAAAGATTAAGAACAATCTGCAAACCTTTCCGAAAAATAGCTCCGGCTAGGCCTAGGCGTTTCCAAAGATTTCCGTGTAGAAGATCTTTCCCTTTTTTGGCATCTCAGGAGTTTCGGCAGCACGTTGAGGCGGCTTTTCAGCTATGGCATGACATGTGAATACAGAAGGTCCATGGGTACGGAAACCCATCATGTTCTTTTGGTTAGGGTTATACATTCACGGAACTTGTCATGATCTGGATGATACACATCCACATCCTCATTGACTAGCTTACATTCTCACAGATTTCTATGTCGAAATGCACCAAAAAGGGAGAGTCAGATGTGCAGCGCATGACGACACTTAGTTGGCCTCATCCAAGATGGGCCAAACCTCAGAAGGTCTCCAGCCGGCCAGCCCTTTCCCCGGCAAAGTGAAGGCCAATGGAAGGATGGTCACTCTACTCAGTCCGCAGTTCTTCCACACAGTTTTACACTGTTCCACACAGTTCACATCCCTGGGCTGTCTGCATATTTTTTTTTCCAGTGAATAAGTTGAGCCATTCTTTTCTGTCGGATGAACACGGTGAAAGTAAAAGGCGATTTGTAGCTATCAATTCACAGAGAAATACCACGGATCATGGTTGGAAAATGGCACCCCACTCGGCCCTCGGCCCTCGGCCCTCGGCCGCCTTGGCCCTCTTTCAGTTTTCTTTGCGGATCACCTTGGAAGAATCCCAGCCTTGGTTTCAGGGGACAAACCTAGGAACTTCCCAGAGTTTTCGCTGGTAAATCTATGAAAGCCTCCCTTGATTTTTCTCGCCTCATCCATTGACCCCAGGGCGCCTTTCATCTTGCTGGGAGTAGGAAGTTGTACAGCTACTTTCAGAAAAGGCTGCACCGCGACGTCATGATCGTCATGGCAGCTGGGCGTGTCCCCAGCGAGGCCCCTTGTGGTGCCGGTCCTCCTTGATGGCTGGTCAGGTCATCGGCAGTTCACCTAAGGGAATTGAAGTGAAACCAATGCACTGCGTCCCGCGAAGTGTTTTGAATCAAGTTGTGAACACATTGATTTCTTGGAGTCACTTGTTATTGTTCTGCTTGCTTTTGCATAATGTGACTGGAAGCTTGCTGTAGTGTGAGAGCTGTGGGTGACCCCACGTCTCATGATGAGAATTGCTAGTGGAATGCTAATGGTTTGATAATGTTTGATCAAAGTAGTAGCTGCCTGAGAAGTCAAAAGGCACGGGACGATCTCAGTTCGAAGACTTTCTAAACAGGGTTCTAAGTCGTGACAAGGTTCTATCAGATAGGAGGATGTTCGGTGCAAACGTCGGTTTTCACCGCATGGTGCGAACTGGCAACCTGTGTCACCCACGGAAAAAAGAGGGCGGTTGGCTGGGGTGGGGACAGGGCCCGTTTCAAGTTTCGCCCTGGTTTGAGTCATGATCGCAGGTCTTGCTGCCAAGAGGAATGGTACTAATTCTGCAACAAGTCCGGATGGTGGCTACAACGATTTGTCATTTTCATCCAGAAGGTTCTCCCAACTGACAAGCAGCATTTTAGGATGGGTGATTCAAATGACTGGCTCCAAGATATGCACAGAATCCCTATGAATTTGTTGACTTGGTGTAATTGATTTTCTGAGTTCTTTTTGTTGCGCATCGCAGGTCTCGACCCCTTTGATTTATCCGCTGAGGTCTATGAATTCAGACTTGCGTGGTTCTCTTTTATCACGAAAGGTAGCGTCAGCTACCTGAGTTCTCCGTGCTTCAGCACAAGCATAGGGGGTATTGGGGGGCCAGCCCGGGCTAAACGTGGAATTCTAGCCGTTATGTATTAGATATCAATTATAGGGGGGGGGGAAATGTAAAAAAAGTTGATTCAGTGAAGTTTTCTAAACTAATATCATAGCAGTATAACAAATCAAAATTTATTCATTAAAACAAACATAACAGTCCAAAAAGTCAGTTTATATATTGTTAATTGCTTCATTTTTCTCAACAATATCAAAACATAATTACCTCATTCAATTTTTCAAAATCATAGCGGTCAAAGCATACTTACCTCATTCAATTTTTCAAAATCATAGCAGTCAAAGCATACTTACCTCAGTCAATTTTTCAAAATCATAGCAGTCAAAGCATACTTACCTCATTCATTTTTTCAAAATCATAGCAGTCAAAAGCATTATTACCTTATTCATTTTACAAAATCCTATCCATCAACCGTTCCTAAATTCCTTTTACGCTTCTCTGTTTTTAAATGTCTTGAATAACATTGTGCCTTCATTGATGAATTACATACATTACAAAAGGCAACTTTATCACGATAGTTTTGTATTTGTTCCTGTTTCTTTTTTCTATATTCTTCATCTTCTTTATATTTAGTTCTTCGTGTTTCATTCACTTTATCTTTATGTTTGTCATAGTTCTTTCTCTTGTATTCCAAGCATGTCTTACAAGTCTTCAATCACATGTTGATAATTTTGAAGATGGATTGAAGACTTGTAAGACATGCTTGGAATACAAGAGAAAGAACTATGACAAACATAAAGATAAAGTGAATGAAACACGAAGAACTAAATATAAAGAAGATGAAGAATATAGAAAAAAAAACAGGAACAAATACAAAACTATCGTGATAAAGTTGCCTTTTGTAATGTATGTAATTCATCAATGAAGGCACAATGTTATTCAAGACATTTAAAAACAGAGAAGCGTAAAAGGAATTTAGGAACGGTTGATGGATAGGATTTTGTAAAATGAATAAGGTAATAATGCTTTTGACTGCTATGATTTTGAAAAAATGAATGAGGTAAGTATGCTTTGACTGCTATGATTTTGAAAAATTGAATGAGGTAAGTATGCTTTGACTGCTATGATTTTGAAAAATTGAATGAGGTAATTATGTTTTGATATTGTTGAGAAAAATGAAGCAATTAACAATATATAAACTGACTTTTTGGACTGTTATGTTTTTTTTTTTAATGAATAAATTTTGATTTGTTATACTGCCATGATATTAGTTTAGAAAACTTCACTGAATCAACTTTTTTTACATTTCCCCCCCCCCGAAAATGGTCATGGGTTCAATTCCCGCGGGTGACGCGGTCACGGTCCGCCACAGTAGAGGCACATTCTCCGGGAGATGTCCCTGTAGTTCAGCATAATTGGTTTGCTTCAGCCTCAATAACAGTTGCTGCAAGGGGTCTTAAAAAGGGGTTTTAAATAAACCCCTTTTTGTGCATCATTTCACGCTGCACAAGACACCGTATCATGCAGTCATGCTCTGGATAAAATCATCTTAGACTGCGCAAAAACGTTTTTGGTGTATCATCTTAGGGGCGCAGCATTTTGACACCACTCCTCTCCCACTACACTACCTTTCGTCCGCCTCCGCCTGCTCTCAAGTTGACCCAGACCTGCTTAGCGTCCACCGTGTCCTTTTGAAGCTGTTGATGCTTGGGACTGGCTGGGGTATGCGGATTTGGCAGCTTTGGCTGGCAAAATAAACGGCAGATTTACAAAGATGCCACTATCTGCTCGCAGGATACATTTCCTGCCAAAGCTTACCGCCCTTGGGTTTGATCCATGTAAACAATACATTCCAAACGTTTCCTCAAACTTATGACCATGGATTTGTTTCAACCCAGTTTCAACTCATTTGTTCATTTTGTACTCTGGACCTCAGCAATACAGGCCTTCACAAGTCTATATAGGTAATCTTGGGCACTGCACTGGGGGTACTGGGAGAGACTGAAAATTCCTTGGTGGTTCCCCTTTTGGGGCTACACCAGTATCACTACTTTGGGGTGCAGTTCCAGTTGCAATTGGATATATATATATATATATATATATCACATAACCGTAGTTACAGCGGTTATATCCCAACTTACTTTGGTTTAAATCCCATGGTTATACCGCACCTCCAACCAGTGGCCACAAATTTTCGAACTTGCCTGGCCGCCGCCGCGCTGCTTCCACCATGGGGTCGCTCTGGCATACTTGGGAGAAGTGCTTGGGCTGCTGGGGGATACAAAGCTTCAGCTGTGGCAGGTGGGGAGCCGACAAGCCCTTTATGAACAAGCTGACCATTCGAAGGTGGAAGGCGCCAGTTGACCAGTGCTTGGGGTTTCTAAGGTTTCTACTCCTGTCTACAACTGGATTCATCAGCTAGATTCCTAGATGGAATGTCAATTCAGAATATATATTTTTTCCCTTTGGCACATTGGCAGCTCTGGCTCAGACCAGGATTTTTTCCATTGAGACATATTACATGCCTTAGGCTGGTTGAGCTTGTGATGGATTGATGGTCTCATGGTTCGGCCCGTTTGTCTGACTGTTGGAACATGTTGAAACACACCCCTTTGGGTAGGAATGGATCAACAACTATGATGCGCTGGATGTGTTGATTTGTTACGATCGGGGTCGCTCCTCCCAAAGAAAGGCCACAAGAGTAGATAGAATGGCGGCGCACATACTTTCCTCTCATGTCATGCTCCCATTCTACGGGCATGTCATGGCTTACCTTGCTTTCACAAAAGTCTTGCAAGAGGACATGCTCTTGCATCACAAGCATGTGGCGGTATATAAGCTCCCCCACAAATTGCAGGCAGGTGAAAACCAGTGCACTTTTGGGTGAAATGAGCTACCACGTTGTCTTTTACATCAAGCTGCTCTGATGGAAAGGTACTTCGATGTTTGATCGCTTGCACTCGGCTGAAGATTTCACTTCCAAGTCGCCTGACGAGGGGATGTTCCCACACAGATGCTCACATATACGTATATATATATATATGTATATATTTGTATATATAAATAGATACATACATATATACGCATGATATACATGTATGTGTATGTTTACGAACATGTATATGCACAGTCCGATACTTTTTTTTGTCACATGACTCATCAATTTCCCAGTAAGTAAGCTTCAGTCCCAGCCGCAGTCTCCGAAGGCGCGCTTCCCCTTCTGGCCGCCTCCAGATGCCTCGCCGGTCACACCCATTGAACCATGGGGCAAGCAATTCTTTGTGCGGAACTTGGGTAGATCCAATTTAGGGCCGGGCCCGGTAATTTGTATGGATATAGGTATAGAGCTAACCAAGTGTGAACATGAGAGACTCAAAATGAACCTGTAAAACATGCTCGGAGATGCTTGGCATGAACTTTGCAGAGCACAACTTGCGAACAATGAAACTCACTAAGCTCACCCAGAGAAAAAAGAGTTGCAAGGGTCAACACTGGCTGGATGTTGGTTTATGTGTGATGCCCTTGCCAAGATCTGAAGAAGCATTTCAAACACAGTACTTCGCTTGCCCCAACTTCTAGGTAGCCATGGCAATCTCCATGCGCTTCTTGGCAAAGGCTTCCCAGAGCTTCGAGAGTATTGTGTCGCATGCGCCTTCCCCAAAGGCCTTGCGCACACCGAAGACTCCCAAAACTCCGAAGACACCAATGAGCCCATTTGGCATCAGTCCACTTGCTTCCTTGAACCGTGTGAACTTCTTTCCTGAAGATGTGGAAAAGGTGGCAAAGCGCACTCCCAAAGTTCCAGCTCGCTCCGTCCACTTTGCGAATGGGGGTTGGGTTGGGAATGCTACTCGTCTTCTTGGAGGTCGATTGCAAGCAGAGGCCGAAGCTTCCAGTCCAATCACAGACCTCACAACTGCAGCCTCAGCAACCAGAGATGCAGTGCGAGCTCGTTTGGCAAGGCAGGAGCAGAGGGCTGCTCCTCTGGCAAGTGAAGCAGGAATCCCAACCCTTCCCATGCTGCTAGGACAGCGTGCACCTCTTAGTTCTGTTGGGCAACGATTGGATGTTGTGGATGAAGAGTCGTGTGCATATGCGGCTCGCAAGGCCTGTTTGGAACAGAGGGAGAGAAGGGCAAGCCGGGCCATGGTGGATTTCGTGGTTTGAAAGAGCCTTTGATGTCATGTACAGCCTAGTGAAGTCTTTTGAGCGAGCAAAGTCAACCTCAATGCTTCTTATCTACATTTATGATCTTGTACAGATGGAGCTTTAGCATTCCGATGCGCTGCTTAGGGCTGAGACTAGAGTTGTGCAGAGCCACATCCAGCTGGTGTCAGCCTGTCGCTCCCACTTCGAACTTCTGAACCTGAAATCGATTTTTCCAAAAAGCTTTGGCATGGTTTTCCATGAGGGGGACGTGAAGATCACATAAGATCACTATCATTTATTGCATTGATTGGTAAATGGATCTTGCTTGCTTTTGGCGGCTTGGTTGAAGTGAGCAGATTGTGTTTATATAACATGTTCCGGTATACGGTATACGGCAGTCTTTTCTAAATGTAATGAAGTGCCTTTGACATTTATGAAGGCTCCACATGCTACTTGGTGAAGTTGTGGATTGCACGAACGCTTCCTGCGTCAATGTTTGGCTCTGTCGCGGGGACACTTCTTTCCGAAGTGGATCTGAAAGAAGCATTTCAAACACAGTACTTCGCTTGCCCCAACTTCTAGGTAGCCATGGCAATCTCCATGCGCTTCTTGGCAAAGGCTTCCCAGAGCTTCGAGAGTATTGTGTCGCATGCGCCTTCCCCAAAGGCCTTGCGCACACCGAAGACTCCCAAAACTCCGAAGACACCAATGAGCCCATTTGGCATCAGTCCACTTGCTTCCTTGAACCGTGTGAACTTCTTTCCTGAAGATGTGGAAAAGGTGGTAAAGCGCACTCCCAAAGTTCCAGCTCGCTCCGTCCACTTTGCGAATGGGGGTTGGGTTGGGAATGCTACTCGTCTTCTTGGAGGTCGATTGCAAGCAGAGGCCGAAGCTTCCAGTCCAATCACAGACCTCACAACTGCAGCCTCAGCAACCAGAGATGCAGTGCGAGCTCGTTTGGCAAGGCAGGAGCAGAGGGCTGCTCCTCTGGCAAGTGAAGCAGGAATCCCAACCCTTCCCATGCTGCTAGGACAGCGTGCACCTCTTAGTTCTGTTGGGCAACGATTGGATGTTGTGGATGAAGAGTCGTGTGCATATGCGGCTCGCAAGGCCTGTTTGGAACAGAGGGAGAGAAGGGCAAGCCGGGCCATGGTGGATTTCGTGGTTTGAAAGAGCCTTTGATGTCATGTACAGCCTAGTGAAGTCTTTTGAGCGAGCAAAGTCAACCTCAATGCTTCTTATCTACATTTATGATCTTGTACAGATGGAGCTTTAGCATTCCGATGCGCTGCTTAGGGCTGAGACTAGAGTTGTGCAGAGCCACATTCAACTGGTGTCAGCCTGTCGCTCCCACTTCGAACTTCTGAACCTGAAATCGATTTTTCCAAAAAGCTTTGGCATGGTTTTCCATGAGGGTGACGTGAAGATCACATAAGATCACTATCAGCTATCATTTATTGCATTGATTGGTAAATGGATCTTGCTTGCTTTTGGCGGCTTGGTTGAAGTGAGCAGATTGTGTTTATATAACATGTTCCGGTATACGGTATACGGCAGTCTTTTCTAAATGTAATGAAGTGCCTTTGACATTTATGAAGGCTCCACATGCTACTTGGTGAAGTTGTGGATTGCACGAACGCTTCCTGCGTCAATGTTTGGCTCTGTCGCGGGGACACTTCTTTCCGAAGTGGATCTGAAAGAAGCATTTCAAACACAGTACTTCGCTTGCCCCAACTTCTAGGTAGCCATGGCAATCTCCATGCGCTTCTTGGCAAAGGCTTCCCAGAGCTTCGAGAGTATTGTGTCGCATGCGCCTTCCCCAAAGGCCTTGCGCACACCGAAGACTCCCAAAACTCCGAAGACACCAATGAGCCCATTTGGCATCAGTCCACTTGCTTCCTTGAACCGTGTGAACTTCTTTCCTGAAGATGTGGAAAAGGTGGTAAAGCGCACTCCCAAAGTTCCAGCTCGCTCCGTCCACTTTGCGAATGGGGGTTGGGTTGGGAATGCTACTCGTCTTCTTGGAGGTCGATTGCAAGCAGAGGCCGAAGCTTCCAGTCCAATCACAGACCTCACAACTGCAGCCTCAGCAACCAGAGATGCAGTGCGAGCTCGTTTGGCAAGGCAGGAGCAGAGGGCTGCTCCTCTGGCAAGTGAAGCAGGAATCCCAACCCTTCCCATGCTGCTAGGACAGCGTGCACCTCTTAGTTCTGTTGGGCAACGATTGGATGTTGTAGATGAAGAGTCGTGTGCATATGCGGCTCGCAAGGCCTGTTTGGAACAGAGGGAGAGAAGGGCAAGCCGGGCCATGGTGGATTTCGTGGTTTGAAAGAGCCTTTGATGTCATGTACAACCTAGTGAAGTCTTTTGAGCGAGCAAAGTCAACCTCAATGCTTCTTATCTACGTTTATGATCTTGTACAGATGGAGCTTAGCATTCCGATGCGCTGCTTAGGGCTGAGACTAGAGTTGTGCAGAGCCACATTCAGCTGGTGTCAGCCTGTCGCTCCCACTTCGAACTTCTGAACCTGAAATCGATTTTTCCAAAAAGCTTTGGCATGGTTTTCCATGAGGGTGACGTGAAGATCACATAAGATCACTATCAGCTATCATTTATTGCATTGATTGGTAAATGGATCTTGCTTGCTTTTGGCGGCTTGGTTGAAGTGAGCAGATTGTGTTTATATAACATGTTCCGGTATACGGTATACGGCAGTCTTTTCTAAATGTAATGAAGTGCCTTTGACATTTATGAAGGCTCCACATGCTACTTGGTGAAGTTGTGGATTGCACGAACGCTTCCTGCGTCAATGTTTGGCTCTGTCGCGGGGACATTTCTTTCCGAAGTGGATCTGAAAGAAGCATTTCAAACATAGTACTTCGCTTGCCCCAACTTCTAGGTAGCCATGGCAATCTCCATGCGCTTCTTGGCAAAGGCTTCCCAGAGCTTCGAGAGTATTGTGTCGCATGCGCCTTCCCCAAAGGCCTTGCGCACACCGAAGACTCCCAAAACTCCGAAGACACCAATGAGCCCATTTGGCATCAGTCCACTTGCTTCCTTGAACCGTGTGAACTTCTTTCCTGAAGATGTGGAAAAGGTGGCAAAGCGCACTCCCAAAGTTCCAGCTCGCTCCGTCCACTTTGCGAATGGGGGTTGGGTTGGGAATGCTACTCGTCTTCTTGGAGGTCGATTGCAAGCAGAGGCCGAAGCTTCCAGTCCAATCACAGACCTCACAACTGCAGCCTCAGCAACCAGAGATGCAGTGCGAGCTCGTTTGGCAAGGCAGGAGCAGAGGGCTGCTCCTCTGGCAAGTGAAGCAGGAATCCCAACCCTTCCCATGCTGCTAGGACAGCGTGCACCTCTTAGTTCTGTTGGGCAACGATTGGATGTTGTGGATGAAGAGTCGTGTGCATATGCGGCTCGCAAGGCCTGTTTGGAACAGAGGGAGAGAAGGGCAAGCCGGGCCATGGTGGATTTTGTGGTTTGAAAGAGCCTTTGATGTCATGTACAGCCTAGTGAAGTCTTTTGAGCGAGCAAAGTCAACCTCAATGCTTCTTGTCTACATTTATGATCTTGTACAGATGGAGCTTTAGCATTCCGATGCGCTGCTTAGGGCTGAGACTAGAGTTGTGCAGAGCCACATCCAGCTGGTGTCAGCCTGTCGCTCCCACTTCGAACTTCTGAACCTGAAATCACTCTTTCCAAAAAGCTTTGGTGTGGGTTTGTGTGAAGGTAGCCCTTTCCTTGTAAGGCAATCTTGCGGTACTTTGTTGTATATGTAGCACGCTTTTGTAAAATTTCACTGTGTCGCTTTGATATTCTTTGATTCTATCCACACGTCCATGGCTTGTGTAAACTTACTAATGAAGACTGTCCTCAGCATTGGTGCATTCGAATGGTCACGCGCTGCTCTTAGCCCAGATCTTTGAAAGGCGAGGTACCTTGTGTCTTGCATTCCAAATTCAGAAGCGATGGCAATCTCCATGCGCTTCTTGGCAAAGGCTTCCCAGAGCTTCGAGAGTATTGTGTCGCATGCGTCTTCCCCAAAGGCCTTGCGCACGCCGAAGACTCCCAAGACTCCGAAGACACCAATGAGCCCATTTGGCATCAGTCCACTTGCTTCCTTGAACCGTGTGAACTTCTTTCCTGAAGATGTGGAAAAGGTGGAAAAACGCACTCACAAAGTTCCAGCTCGCTCCGTCCACTTTGCGGATGGGGCAACTTGGGTTGGGAATGCTACTCGTCTTCTTGGAGGTCAATTGCAACCAAAGGCCGAAGCTTCCAGTCCAATCACAGACCTCACAACTGCAGCCTCAGCAACCAGAGATGCAGTGCGAGCTCGTTTTGCAAGGCAGGAAGACCGTTGTGTGCCCACTCCTCCGGTTGCAGGCGTGGTTGGTGCAGATGTGAGGTTAGCCACCAAAGCTGGAAGCACAAAGAACCCCCAGCAGATTCTGGCTATGTTCTATGTTCAAGATTCTATAGAATCCAATTCAATCCTCAAATCTTCAGAAACACAACTTTGATCGGTAAACCTATGTGGCAATGGCTCAAAATTACATGCCGCCAAAAATAGATTGTCCGCTACAAAAACTGACCATTGCCCCATTTAGTGATGGCGAAGTCCCCCAGAATTGATGGCAATATCAATATCTTATGAGTTAATCGACAAAGATGATTTATAGTACTTACTATAATGAACTATAATGATTGTTTTCCATCATTTCAGCATAGCCCCTCTGCACGGCAGGCTTGGACTTGACCCTTCCTGTCCTTTTGGGTCATCGCATGGCATCCACCGTGGCTTCTTCAACGAGGGCAACGACGCCCAGCGATGGCAACGAGGAGTCTTGCGCACATGCGGCACGCAAGGCCTTTTTGGAGCAACAGGAGCGTTTCGGGGATCCTTGTGAAATCACCAAAACGGCACCAGAAACATCAGCAACTTTGGGATACCCGGATACCCTTATGTCTTCTGTGGAAACCATGAAAAAGCATTTCGTCCTCCATCAATGTGTGAGGTCATCACTCGAACTGGAGAGCGAAAGGTATTGAATGTGGTTTCACCAGCCGTAGGTAAGACGCGGACGAGACATAACCCAAGCACCAACAAGGCCGACTCCCCTATCTTGAAGAATTCCCAGATTTGGGCGGATGCTCATTTGGAAGGCTCCATGGTTCAGTAAGTAAACCGGTATGAAACATCATCTCTAAATATCAGATATCTTTGACATATATATATATATAATATATAATACATATATTGATGGATCTTCACCATAGCCCAGTTGGATATCTCTGATATCCCCGGACAGGAGCGCCGTGCCTCCCGGGCCATGGTGGACTTCGTGGTCTGAGGCGAAAACGGCCCTGGCGTCGTCCAGTGGATCTGGATGGATCTGGGATGCGGGGTTTCTGGGCTTGCCATCTGGGGGATTTCAGGATTTCTGGGGGATACCCCAATGGATGGTTTGTTCATGGTTTATGTCATGGCAAAACCAATTATAAATGGATGGAAAATCCAACTATAAATGGATGATTTGGTTTATTGATGTAGCATTTCTAAGTGACATCTGTGATGTTTGATGTTTTATCCAAGATGTTCCATCATTTCAAGGGCGATTTAGAGGGTGATTTAGTTTATGCATTGATTGATGATATTTTTCGCACTCATTTTAGATGGGTTTTTGCATCACCGTTGGTTTGATTACCACAGAGTCAGTGGAAGTTGATAAATTATGATACTTTTATGAATCGATTTTCAGAGGTTGGCCCAACCCTGCTGGTAGTTGCAGCACCGCAAGCCAACAGTGGCGTTCTGCGGTGTGACTTATGTCAAGTAGCTGGGGCTCACTGGCAAGCTGAAAGGATGTCCGGCGAACTGCATTTTCACATCCAGAAACGAGTTGGAGATCTCTCAGCTCTGATTTTTCTGCGGCAACCGGATCGCAGAAAAAGATCCCGGACATCTTGGACGCCAACTCGTCTAATGGTTGAGCCTTGGTGAAACACCATGGTAGACCCGGCGAGGTTGGAAGCTTTCCCTTCTCGAACGAATGTTCGAGGAGCCCAGACTTCGTTGAGTCTCAGGACTCCCCCGCGCTTGTCACATGACAAGTTGGAGGGGGCGGCCCTGCCATGACCAATAGGATACTGAGTACAGTACCTACAGTACCAGTTGTAAAGGATGTAAAGGGACCCATGTTCCACCAATGTTAGCCCCAACCACTGAAGCCAAAGAATGCATATGCAATGCACATTTTGACAGCAGAAACACATCATTCCTTCACCAAACCAAGCCCTGGATACCTGCCCCAGTAGAGCCTTGGGTCTAAGTTGAAATTTGGAGACAAGAAATAGTCATTATGGCTTCCAACTCACCAAAATCTCATAGCTTCATTTGTGATCTAGATCTGAAGATTGGTCATTTCCGTCCATTTCCCTATTCAAATTGCGTAGCATTTTGGGGCTGCACAATAGATCGAAAGGGGACAACAGGCAATTCCATGTTGAAAGTAGTGATAGGGAAATCCCTTTTGGATAGATGGCAGAAGGCGTGCCCTCTGCATAGGGACAGTTGGCCATCGCCACGGGACACTGCAGAGTCAGTGTCTCATGGCTCATGGCCGTGGGGCTGTAGGGTTTGGTGCAGCCTGGTCCACAGGGGGAAGAAGGTAGTTCGAACCAAAAAGGGCTTGCCAGGGCTGCCAGGGTTGGGGTAAGCCCGGGATGCCCGATAGAGAACATAGAGTACTTACCTTCACTTTGGGATAGGGATGTTCTACATAGTTTTTGTTTTTCCGGATTCATTGACGTGTCATGTACGCATAAGGTTGTAACGAGTCCTATCGGCTTGCAAAACAGATATTGTGAAAGCTAAGATTGCAAAACAATCGCATTTCGGTCGCAGCTCCGCTGTTTCACAGCTCGCAGAGGTTTACAATGCGGCGAGGGGAACTGAGATCTCTGGTGATCCTCGGGTAGGGGGCTCTCAGGATGCAAGGGTCATTGCTGAGTCACTGCTTCTCTCAAACTGAAGGAACAGAAGTGGTTGCCCAAAATTATACCCAGGAAACATTTAAAACACGTCAAAAAAAACAGTCAAAAAATCTGATGCATTTCTGGTCTGTGAATTTCATGGTTGGATGGGTATCCCCTCCGATTACCCGGAGGCTATCCCCATTTGGGCTTGTCCTAAATTTTGGACCATCCGTCTTGGCAGTGACCTGAAAAGGGCATGCCCCAATTTGAGACAAACACAAATAGTAAATTGTAGGGGTTATATTCCATGGTATCCTCATCATCTCGCCATCATCTCCCCATTCTGGTTGATTTATGTTGATTTTACCCACATTCATATCATTGTCAGGGGTATTGGACTTATTACTCAATCAATCATACGCTGGGTGTGAATGAGGTACAAAATGCTAGTACATTTGTTTAGCCTTCTTGCCAGCTCTGAACGATCTTCCCCAGTTTATCCATTCTATTTATCTCAACTAAGTTACACCCCATTCTGCCCTCATGATAACTTGCCATTGTCTTTCAAACGGTATTGACGTTATATCACCACATGAGCAGGGTTCAAAACTTCAAAACCCCTCTTGGTTGATTAGCATACGGGATTCTACTGCCTACTTTGTTGGGAATTCTCATCGTCCATGAAACTGGACATGCTGTTCTTGACCAACCAGTATTGAATGGAATGACATTTCGGGTTTCGAACATCCCAATTAGTATCCACCTGGTTAAATATCCCATGGTATCCCCAGTATGTAACATGAAATCTCCATTACACTCCCATTACACTCCCATTACACTCCCATTACCCTCCCATTACACTCCCATTACATTCCCATTACACTCCCATTACACTCCCATTACATTCCCATTACACTCCCATTACACTCCCATTAATGTACACTCCCATTACATTCCCATTACATTCCCATTACATTCCCATTACATTCCCGTTACATTCCCGTTACATTCCCGTTACATTCCCATTATATCCCTCTATCTATCTATCTATCTAGCTAGCTATCTATCTACCTCTCTATCTCTCTATCTCTCTCTATCTCTCTATCTATCTATCTATCTGTCTATCTAGGGCACGTCTTAATTACGAAAGTGGTCTTCTAATGACGAAAGAAGCTCTTTAATGACGAAAACACATATATCAACTAATTGCGAAAACAATTCTTTAAATGCGAAAGAATCATATATTGATTTATGCTTACTTGTCGCACAGTGACTGGCTGTAGGGACTGTCACACAGTGGTTTTTTTTATAGTTTCTTTTTCTTATAGTTTCTTTTTCTTATAGTTTCTTTTTCTTATAGTGAGCCACTCAGCCTCTGCTCCTTTGGCTCAAACGGCAAATCCAGTCATGCCTATATCACGGAAGCCCATCTGCCCATCTAAGCGAAACCTCTTTCAGCCAAGGATTGGATCTGACGGTGAATTGAAGATCATTGAGAAGCGGGATCGAAAGTTGAAGAGTGGCTGGATGCCACTGTGTGAGAATGAGAGTGCAGAACAAAAAGATTGCGGATCAACAGCGACTAGTTAGTTTGTCAGATGGCAGCTGCATAGTTTGTCAGACAGTGACTGTTCTGTTTGTGCCTCAGTCATCCCATAGCTTGTCACGCAGTCGTCCTTTGGTTGGTCCTCACAAATGCGCACGGATAGCTTGCCACACAACGACCAGTTAGTTTGTGAGAAAGTAGCTGCATAGTTTGTCACATATTGACTGTTCTGTTTGTGCCTCAGTCATCCGATAGCTTGTCACGCAGTGGTCCTTTGGTTACCAGGCGGTGGGCATCGATTCCCCCTAGGTCCGGTTTTCTGGGGTTGTCTGGGCTCAGTCAATGGACAGATAGATTGGCCAGCTAGTTAGAGGAGATTGGAGAGAGAAGGACAGTGGGTGAAAAGTATGTGCAAGAAGGGTTTTTTGGGTGAAGAGTCTCTGGGTGAAAAGTCTGTGCAAGAAGAGTTTCTGGGTGAAAAGTCGGTCCTCGCAAATGCGCGCGGATAGCTTGTCACAAAACGACCAATTAGTTTGTGAGAAAGTAGCTGCATAGTTTGTCACACAGCGACTCTGTTTGTGCCTCAATCATCCAATAGCTTGTCTCGCCCTTTGGTTGGTCACATAACGCGTCCTTGACTTGCTGACAACGCACCTGCAGCTTGTAATAAAGCGACTTGTTGCATAAGGTCATTTTTGCTTACAACCAATGCGGACAGATAGCTTGTCACACAGCGACTAGTTAGTTTGTCAGAGAGTACCTGCATAGTTTGTCACACAGTGACTGTTCTGTTTGTGCCTCAGCCCTTTGTTGGTCACATAACGCGTCCTTGACTTGCTGACAACGCACCTGCAGCTTGCAATAAAGCGAGTTGTTGCGTAAGTAGGGTCTTTTTTGCTTGTCACCAATGCGGACAGATAGCTTGTCACACAGCGACTAGTTAGTTTGTCAGATAGAACCTGGATAGTTTGTCACACAGTGACTGTTCTGTTTGTGCTTCAGCCCTTTGGTTGGTGGCATAACGCGTCCTTGACTTGCTGACAACGCACCTGCAGCTTGCAATAAAGCGAGTTGTTGCATAAGTAGGGTCTTTTTTGCTTGTCACCAATGCGGACAGATAGCTTTGTCACACAGCGACTAGTTAGTTTGTCAGATAATACCTGCATAGTTTGTCACACAGTGACTGTTCTGTTTGTGCCTCAGTCATCCCATAGCTTGTCACGCGGTCGCCCTTTGGTTGGTCACATAACGCGTCCAAGACTTGCTGACAACGCAACTGCAGCTTGTAAGAGACTTGTTGCATAAGAGTTTGTTTTGCTTGTCACCAGAGTGGACAGATAGCTTGTTACACAGTGAGTAATCAGTTTGTGAGATAGTGTCTGCCTAGTTTGTCACACAGTGACTGTTCTGTTTGTGCCTCAGTCATCCCATAGCTTGTCACGCAGTCGTCCTTTGGTTGGTCACAGAACGCCTCCTTGAACTGCAGACAGCGCACCTGCAGCTTGTAAGGGAGTCACTTGTCATACAAGAAACTGTTTTGGTTCTCGCAAATGCGGACGGATAGCTTGTCACACAGCGACTAGTTAGTTTGTCAGATAGTGGCTGCATAGTTTGTCACAAAGTGCCTGTTCTGTTTGTGCCTCAGTCATCCCATAGCTTGTCACGCAATCTGCTGTTGGTTGGTCACACAACGCGTCCTTGGCTTGCTGACAACGCAAATGCAGCTTGTAAGAGAGAAACTTGTTGCATAAGAGTTTGTTTTGCTTGTCACCAATGCGGGCAGATAGCTTCCCACACAGCGACGTTAGTTTGTCAGAGAGTACCTGCATAGTTTATCACAAAGTGACTGTTCTTTTTGTGCCTCAGTCAGGTCACATAACGCGTCCTTGACTTGCAGACAGCGCACTTGCAGCTTGTAATAAGCGACTTGTTGCATAAGGTCATTTTTGCTTACAACCAATGCGGACAGATAGCTTGTCACACAGCGACTAGTTAGTTTGTCAGAGAGTACCTGCATAGTTTGTCACACAGTGACTGTTCTGTTTGTGCCTCAGCCCTTTGTTGGTCACATAACGCGTCCTTGACTTGCTGACAACGCACCTGCAGCTTGCAATAAAGCGAGTTGTTGCATAAGTAGGGTCTTTTTTGCTTGTCACCAATGCGGACAGATAGCTTGTCACACAGCGACTAGTTAGTTTGTCAGATAGAACCTGGATAGTTTATCACACAGTAACTGCTCTGTTTGTGCCTCAGTCATCCCATAGCTTGTCACGCAGTCGCCCTTTGGTTGGTCACATAACGCGTCCAAGACTTGCTGACAACGCAAATGCAGCTTGTAAGAGACTTGTTGCATAAGAGTTTGTTTTGCTTGTCACCAGTGCGGACAGATAGCTTGTCACACAGCGACTACTTAGTTTGTCAGGTAGTACCTGCAAAGTTTGTCACACAGTGACTGTTCTGTTTGTGCCTCAGTCATCCCATAGCTTGTCACGCAGTCGCCCTTTGGTTGGTCACAGAACGCCTCCTTGAACTGCAGACAGCGCACCTGCAGCTTGTAAGGGAGTCACTTGTCATACAAGAAACTGTTTTGGTTCTCGCAAATGCGGACGGATAGCTTGTCACACAGCGACTAGTTAGTTTGTCAGATAGTGGCTGCATAGTTTGTCACAAAGTGCCTGTTCTGTTTGTGCCTCAGTCATCCCATAGCTTGTCACGCAATCTGCTGTTGGTTGGTCACATAACGCGTCCTTGGCTTGCTGACAACGCAAATGCTGTTTTGCTTGTCACCAATGCGGGCAGATAGCTTCTCACACAGCGACTAGTTAGTTTGTCAGAGAGTACCTGCATAGTTTATCACAAAGTGACTGTTCTTTTTGTGCCTCAGTCAGGTCACATAACGCGTCCTTGACTTGCTGACAACTTGCAGCTTGTAATAAAGGGACTTGTTGCATAAGGGTCTTTTTTGTTTGTCACCAATGCGGACAGATAGCTTGTCACACAGCAACTACTTAGTTTGTCAGATAGAACCTGAATAGTTTGTCACACAGTGACTGTTCTGTTTGTGCTTCAGCCCTTTGGTTGGTGGCATAACGCGTCCTTGACTTGCTGACAACGCACCTGCAGCTGGTAATAGAGCGACTTCTTGCATAAGAGTCTGTTTTGCTTGTCACCAATGCGGACAGATAGCTTGTCACACAGCGACTGCTTAGTTTGTCAGGTAGTACCTGCATAGTTTGTCACACAGTGACTGTTCTGTTTGCCCTTTGGTTGGTCACATAGCGCGTCCAAGACTTGCTGACAATGCAACTGCAGCTTGTAAGAGAGCGACTTGCTGCATAAGAGTTTGTTTTGCTTGTCACCAATGCGGAAATATAGCTTGTCACACAGTCAGTAATCAGTTTGTGAGATAGTGTCTGCCTGATTTGTCACTCAGTGACTGTTCTTTTTGTGCCTCAGTCATCCCATAGCAGAAGGACAAAAACCTAGCAGTCACTGTGTGACAATCCCTACAGCCACTGTGTGACAACCTGAAGACTGACTGTGCGACAAGAGAAGTGCAGACTGCTGAGCAAACTGGCAGGCAGACTGGCCGGCCGCGACTGTCACTGTGTGACAACGCATGACAAGCTAAGAGCTCGCTGTGTGACAACCTAAGGACTGACCATATGACAAGCTAGGGATTCACAGTGTGACAATCTAAGGGCTCACTGTGTGACAGGCTAGGAGCCTACTGCCGGGCAACTTGACTGCTCCCTCTGTGACAAAGGAAGGACAAAAACCTTACAGTCACTGTGTGACAGTCCCTAGAGCCACTTTGTGACAACCTGAAGACTGACTGTGCGACAAGAGAAGTACAGACTGCTGAGCAAACTGGCAGGCAGACTGGCCGGCCGCGACTGC